TCATTGGATGCTCGATCTGGACATGTTCAACATGTTCAGATGCTGGGCAACGGTGTCAAGGGTCCTCAGTAACCCCCAGTAGAGGCAGCAGCTGGCAATAGATGAGCTTATCTACCGAGAGCTCTGCGTGAAGTTCTACTCCACTTTCTCCCACGTCATTCCGGGGAGTAAGAGGAGTAGACCCTACGTGGAGTTCATGCTGGGAGGTCAGCCGAGGTTGCTGACCTACGATGGCTTTGCTCAAGCCCCCCCCCCCCCCCCCCCCCCCCCCCCCCCCCCACCCCCCCCCCCACCACATGATGATAATAGAGAGGCAGTACACTGCCGACTTACAGTACCTGGCGGCCATCCACGCAATATGCCGAACTGAGCATCAGGGACACTAGTTCAAGGGCTCTAACACCAATGTTGTGAAGCTCATGACACTGTGGAGGATCCTGCACATCCTCCTCACGAGGTTTGTCATCCCCAGCCTGCTGGCAAGGCACTTGATCACGAATATATGGTTGATAGCGCTCCATTCTCTGAACCAACCAGCTGATCCGCTCCATCTGGGAGCCGTGGTTGCTACCACTTTCGCTCCATGCGAGGATTGGGACCGACTGAATACGATGCACTTGGGGGCATCATCACTAGACTGGCCCGACACTTTTGGGTGGATGTGACCTGGTGTTCTATCATCGACCGGACGGATCAGTTTCCCGTGGAGACCCTCTAAAATATGAAGCTGGTGCTTCAAGGGGAGAGAGGAATCGAGTACTTTGAGGGCCTTTGACCCTCAATAGCTCTGCGACCCCAGTTCGACCCTACACCAGTGCAGTCTGATCTAGAGGTTCCTCCCCAAGAGTAGCCGCCCACCAGAGCTCCCAGACGCCGTTGGCGCTCCGTAGCACCACCATCATTAGATGCATCATCATCATCAGGGGCCAAACCTGCTACCTCTGGACCCTGCCTTGAGGAGCAAGTGGATCGCCACGAGGCACATTATGTGTGAGTCACGACTCGACTCGACCTAATCGCCGATCCCATAGAGAGGATGGCTCGACGCCAAGGCATTCTCTCAGATGAAGAGGAGTGAGCTTGCCATGACGATGTAGCCATCGAGGGAGACATGTGGCAGAGCCGATTTCTTTCGCCCCACTTCTCCACTTGCAAACCCTGAACTCTTTTCCTTTTTCTTTTTATTTTCTCCTTAATTAGTGTGTGAACTAGTACCTTGTGTGTTCTTTATTTTGAATAGTATTGTGAAACTTTGTTATGTGCAATAACCTCGCCTCGAGCGAGAATGTTCTTGTGTTATTGTTTTATTTTGTTTCTCCCTTGAAGCTCAAACATCCTACCTCGGGGAATTCTCCAACTTTCACCAAGCCATGCGGTAACATCGTTCTACCTCCTATCTTACGCCATTGAGGGAAATATCGAGCATAAGTTGGGGGGGTGTAGTTTATTACTATGCTTGTGTGTGTGATGAATGCTTGGAGCCTGGATAAATGCCAAAATTTGAGGGCTCCAAGCAATGCATGATCAAAATGGCCGGTTGGTGGGTGAATCTCGTGCTTATTTGGCATCGATCATGAATTGTTGCATGTAATCGAGTGCATCCTGTTATGATGAATGAGAATGCATTAGGGTTGTAATAAAGTATCCATGGGTGGCTAGGTAGCCATGTGATTTTTGTGTCAATCATCTTTTTCATGCGTGATAGATCCCTCTCGCCATGGTGTGTAACATTCATCGTTGTCACTAGTGAGTATGATGGAGGCATAGGATTTAGTCCACGCCCAAAAGTTGATTGTCCCGAAACATTTTATTAATACGATCCTGGGGGTGTATTTTTATAAAATTCACGCAGCAAACAATCAATCTGAAGATTGATTGAACTCGAATCAAGAACAACACGTTCTTAATACGAAATTTGGATAAAACGGAACCAACGGACAATTCCACACCTGGGGAAAGCTTGTATGGTATAAAAGGGTAGTTTCTCGACCACGATTGAAGGGGCTATTCAATCGATACAAAGCTCAGCAAGTTTGGAATCCACCAAACCCAAAACAAGTTCGCAAACTTGCAAAACCAAACAGTTTCTTTTCTATTCAATCAACTCTGTCTTTTACAACGAAAATAGAAAGCTATTTACAGCCAATAAAACCTAATACAAGCCTAATGTAACTAGGAAATAATTAAGGTAAAAAAACTCTAAAAACAGTACAAAACTAGGTCACAAACTTCCTTTCTTGGCGCACAAGTAAGGTGCCAGCAAAACAGTTAAAAGGCAGCTTTCGTACTAAATTCACGCCTTTCGTTCAAGGCCTTCCCGAACTCCAATTCTTCATCCAATTCCTTCACTTTGTTCACAAACATACCTATTTTCATGTTGTGGAAGCCTTTTAAATTGAATCCCATCCATGCTCCTTGAATTGAGCTCCAAAGTAGGCTTCACAAAACAGTTTTCTGCCTTAGCCATTTTCTTGCAGTTTTCCAGTAGGTAGCAACTTTGAGGCCTTGGAAAAAATCCTTACTGACATCATCTGGATCCGAAAGGCATACCATTGAAACATGGCAACTTTATCTTTAAAACAAGCTCTTGATCTCCAATTTTTATTGAGCCACTTGTGAGATAAAAGCTTCCAAATTATGCTACCTGAAACTGTTTTAACACTTAGCCAAAAATCAGAATTCTTCAAGTGAGTTGAGATGGCTTCTTTGGGAAGTAATTGTGAATTGTTCCAATTGGGATCATATCATTTATCCCCTAGTCGACCCCTTTGAGTCGTGTGACTTTGGGGATCGTTCACATGTTAGGAGCTTGTTGCTTGTGAACTTAATGATGATTGATAGAATGAACCCTCATCCTTTCTTCGTGTCTAAACCGTTGTGATTCATCCTTGTATCCTGAAGATTTTCTCTTTTGAGCTCCTTCGAGGTTCTACATAGGTGGATTTTGCACGCTTCATGCTAGGAATGAAAAACCTGATATGAGCCACTAGGGGAGCTGATTTGAGCCATCAACGAACATTGAAGCTTGATTCCTTCCTCTAGGAGTACTGATCGCCTATCTGGAGACGATTTCACTCATCTACACCACGATGACCATCTCCAGCCTTGTGTTCCTTCCTCTCTCCACTTATGTACGAAAAACCTAATATCTGTCTATTAGGAACAATTGTATGAACCTATTTTCGTGGCATTTGATTATTATATTTTCGTGGCATCCCGATGAAATACTTGAAAGCATACTCAACAAACTCACAATCAAGGTCGAAGCCATTGAACCCAACAATCTCGCCCTCTTTGATGCTCGTCCTTTTCACTTTATTCACCACTGGAGCCTTCCACAATCTTAGGCTTTTGCCTTTCGACATGGTCGTAGCCACCTACATCAGAAACAATCAAACAAATTAGGAAGATTATACTAAACCAAAAAAAAAAACATAAGAGCTAGCCTAATACAAACATGTAAGAAGTCATTCATCTTGTTCGAGTAAAAGGAAACAAAAAAAAAACGTATGCGTTGTGATTCCTCGTTATGAAAAGAAACTCAATAAGATAATGGGATCCTAATATTGATAGATTTACCTTAACTCTCAATGTGTGCAGACGAGGACACGCATTTATCCATGTACTCCAGGCTAGGATGCTTATGTCGCCTTGCGCAGGTAAATTTTGTAATGTTAGCCGCTCCAGGCAAGTCAATTCAGCCATGTTCGAAGGAAACCTAATCACTGACTACAACAAACGAACGAATAAACATGCAGTTAGTGAGCAAATTAAATGAAAGAAAACTCCAGTTCGAATTATTGGAATCAACATATATATTCTCGACCGACAAGCAATTGCTACTTACGGAGCTCATTTTCACCGTGAGGGATTGCAGCCGACCAACGTAGGCAGAGAGGGAGCGGAAAGCAAACTCAGGCTTGCAAAAAATCAAACCCTAGTGTCAACTCCACGAGACGGCCACAATTGTTGTGCACCCGCAATTCCTTCGTTCCATCATCTTGGCCATGGTAGTGCAGGTGAGTGAGCCCTGGAGCATCGTCGATCTCCAGCACTTTCATCGGCCTGCATCTGCTTACTTCCAAGTATCTCAGCGCCCGAATACGTCGCAGCCTGAGACTCACTAGAGAGTGTGATTGATGCAGGACCAGATGTTGGAGCAAGGGACAGTTAGCCGCGAAATGCTCGACCACCTCTCACCCAACATCAACGAAGCTCAAGCTCAAGGATCTGAGGAGCTTGATGTCGGACGTCCGAGTCTTGATGCGATCGAAACAAGCGTCGGGGAAAGCGTAATAGGAACGGCTGTCAGTGAAGTAGAACAGCTCCAAGAACTCGAGTCTATTTGACATGAACGCGAACTCGAGCCATCGATCCATGTCCCCATCGGAGTTGCACTCTTTCTCCAAGAAGAACTGGACTCGAAAATTGTTGATGATCGGTTTCGAGGCATCATCGTCGTCGTCGTGAAGCTGCCTCAAAGCTCCGTTTACCCAGTTGATGTACCAACGCCTTTTCTCCTGCACCCATGCCTCCCTCTCCTCGTCGCTCGAGTAAGGCGGATTGCGGGAAGCAATATCATGAAATACTTCTCCGGCGTCGAAGTCAAGAACCGTGACGGACGATTTGCACAAGTTAATCCACCTGGTCGACAGGACCGAAGTGGCGGCTGCTTCTTTGAGGGTCAACATGGACACGACTCTTCCGAGGATGTCATCCGGCAATTCGCTAATCCGGTCAACATCGATAATACCACGGCTATTGTTGCTGTTTAATCGTGAGTCATCTTCGGCCGCCATTGTTTCTTGGTGGCGGGCGGCGGATCTTTCTTTCCCTATTTTGTGTTCTGTACGTAGTTTCGGCAGAGAGAGTGATCGGAGAGCACCTTTGGTTGAGCACTTCTACTATGCTATATAGTATTGATGCTTTAATGTACAAATTAAAGTTGTATAATAACCTTAAATGCATAAGTTTATGTTGTACCATAAAACAATTTGTACCATTATGTTATGGTACAAGTTTACAACTTGAAGTTATATCATTACATAAAGGTACAAGTTCAAGTTGTACCATAAAAGAATTTGTACCAAAACTATAGGTACAATATGAAGTTGTACCACAACGTAAATGTACAATTTTAAATTGTACCATAAAGGCAAAAATCTATAGCACCAATACTATATAGCATTGTAAAATTTCTCCCTTTGGTTTTATATTGAGCGAGGGGTGCGGATAGTATAACAACACCCTTAGTGTTGTTATACTAACAACATGATTCATTAAGGGTATAAGGGTAAATTTATCTAAAATCTAATAGAATAAAAATTAAATTATATTTCGCCTACCCACCCCGTCCCCTTCACACTCTCGTTGGATCTCAGTTCTTCTTTGATCTTCCCACTCTCCTCGGCCCCCAACGCAACAGCTTCACCGCCCACCTCCACCGCATCCAACGAGATTACGGACATCATCACCAACTGAGGAGTTACCGAGCGACGACGGCGATTCCGGAGCAGATGCGGCGGCGTTGGATGCCATTGATGTCGCTGAATTTGGGAGAGAAGGGGGATGGGAGCAGCGCGTTGGCAATTTCTCAGGTCAAGCGAGAGGTGGCGGTGCTGGACGCACTGTTTTGGGTTTGTGGACTTCGAATCAGCTAGCTCCATGGAGAGAGCGCTTGAGGGTTTTTTCCAATGTTGTCAGAACCGAACCGGAGCATGACCCGGTAATGCGAACGGCTCGCACTTTAGTGGTCCAACCGGCATTAGACCGTTTAAAAACCGTTAGAGAACTGGTACCTAATAAATGTTATCAGTATAAATAGTGGACATTTCTTAATCAGAGCTCATCTCTTTCCTTCGAAATTGTGAAATGGAAATAAGGATTCATTTGAGAGCCCGACGTTTTTGGTTTTTTTCAATTTTCAATTTTCTACAATTTTTTTAATTAAATTTAGTGGCTGAATGGCAAAAACCGGACGAGCGGCTCGAACTGCTAACCGCCTCAGCCGCTCGCCAACCGCTACATAAAACCGGAGCGGCTTTTAGACTATTTCGAGCCGATTTTGTGACCGGGTGGCGGTTTTACCGGTCGGGCCGAGCGGCTCGGCTCGGCTTTAATAACACTGGTTTTTTCACATTTAGTGAATCCGGACAGGTTTTTGCATTTGGGGGGATGGGGAAAAAGAAACAATGAGGGCCGCTTGGCTAGCTTTCCCTAAACAATGAGCGCCATCGGATTCCGGTTGTTCGCCTGTTCCCATGACGGAACTGTCGGAAATTCGGATTCTACCGCTGCTAGAGGGTACGTGAACGGAAGCAGCAGAAGGCTCCGCAACCATGGCGGCACCGGCTGCAGACGACTTCATTGAGGCTCCTATGTTGCCTCGCTGCAGTTCGTATCTCTCAAATTCCTAGAGATTCGCAACAATGGTGGTACCAGCTGCGGCCTGTGTTGTGGAAATTCATTCCAAGGCTTTCCGCGGACTAAGAGTCTATGCTTCAATTGCTTTTCTTCCTCTCCATCTCGTTTCTTTCTTTCATTAGTACTCCAATTGAATTTTTTTTTTTCTAATGACAATTTGAATGGACAGTGAAGAGAATCATTGATCCTGGGAAAGCTATTTTCAAGTTTTAAGTTGATATTTGTGGTATATCTATTGTGATGTGTTGTTTAATTTTGCTAATTATAGAGTGTACTTGTGGTCATATGTAGTTTGGTGTCAAATGGGGTTGTAGCCTTGTAATAATTTTGTATTTATTTGTTAGTTATCAGCACAATAAAGCGCCTAATATAAATTATAAACGCAATAAAAACAACCCCAACATGCATACCAGAAACCTCATAATGCAAACCAAAAATCTCCTAAAACATACCAGAAACCCCATAATGCACACCACAAATATTCCGAAAGCACACCACAAACCCCCCTAATGTAAACCACAAACAACGGTAAAGCAAACCAAAAACGTTCTAATGCAGACCACAAATATATTAAAACAAACCAGAAACCTCGAAAAGCAAACCACAAAAGTTTCGAAAGCACACTAGAAACTTCTTAATGCAAACCAGAAACCTCCTAATGCAAACCACAAATCTCCTAAAACAAACCACAAACCTCACAAAGCAAACCACAACATTTGCGAAAGCACACCAGAAACCTCCTAATGCAAACCACAAACACAGTAAATCAAACCACAAAAAAGCAAACAATAAACGTCCTAATGCAAACCGCAAATATATTAAAACAAACAGAAATCTCACAATGCAAACCACAAAGTTTTTGAAAGCAAACCAGAAACTTCTCAATGCAAACCACAAACACGATAAAGCAAACCAGAAACTTCTTAATGCAAACCACAAACACGATAAAGCAAACCACAAAAGGCATACGAAAATATGAGAAACCAAACCATAAATCTCACAATGTAGACCATACATCCTGTCTTCGTTGACCGTTGACCGAACTCCGTTGAGCATTAGTGAGCAGATTCCGACGCCGATAGGCATATTCCAGCCCCGATGACTAGATTCCGACGCCGGTAAGCATATTTCGGCGACAAATAGCATATTCCGGCGACCGGTGGCAGAATTCCGGCGACCAATTTTTTGGGCAGAAAATAAAAAAAAATTTATTTTTTATTTTTTTATTATTTAAACAGATTTTTCATAATGACAATTATACTCCTGCTTTGATTTTACACTAGGTCAACTCATCTAATAAAAAGTCATCACAATCCTACCTTCCTATTGGTTGGAGACTAGTGTTGTTATAGTAATAGCGAGCAAGAGTCTTTCCTTTTCCTTCTCGACCACCAACTAGACTCTAAAATAATATTACTTTTATCTTAAGTTAATCATGTGCTCCGTTTTTTGCTTTATTTTATGCACGTTTGAGATAGCTACACATATTTTCTAGTGGGCAGGGCAAGTAATGTTTTCTTTTATGGATGTTATCGGTTTTACTTTTTACAAGTGGTGTATTTACAACTTTTGGTAATACAAGTTAATTATTGAGTAGGAAAAAAATGTCCTTTTATTTGAATTTGACTTTTAATATTATGTGTCTATTTTAATCTGTTAAGTCACCTAACCTAACAAAAACTCGGGATCGTTTGGATGGATCAATTGAAAACAAGACAATTTGGCCAATTATCTCATTCTACAAAATCAGCAGCGGATCCAAAACACAGAAGAGCACTTGGCCGCATTTCATTAAAAAATTAAAACTGTAAACAAATATAATGAAATTTTTTTTGCAATATAAATTGTACACTATCGTATTTTAATTTAGCGAATGCAACAATAATGTAGTCCACATCCATACCAATAGTATAAACTGTTTCAAATAAAATACTTAAGCAACCGACGAGAAATTTATCGCTCATTTTATTGCGCAAATAAGTTTTTACACGTGTTTCATTTTTATAAAAGTTCTCCCGGTAGTAGCTGTTGAAACGAGCAGCGTCAACACTAGACAAATCAATCATGCATAGTGTGTCCATCCCTAGATTCACCAACTACTCTAGTAAATTTTCAAGGAAAAACCCTCATATTTCTTCTAGTCTTTTACGTTTCAGACTTTTAGACTTTTAGATTTCATTGTTTTTTTAGACGAATAATCTTTGGTGCTAGAATTTCTAGTCCAAATAGAATAATGATTGAAAAATGTTAATTTAAATTATTTTCCTAGTTATACCCAATCTTATTATAAAATAACACTGAGCCGGATGTCTAATATCGAAAAATTCATAAGGACTACACTAATGCCGGATTCAGAGGAGGGTTGGGCCGGGGTCCGGGTGGCCACCCCCTGGAACCGCCACTGTACAAAATAAGTCATTTAAAATGAGTCAATTCGAAATATCTGTCACCATCTCTGAAAATTGTAAATTTGTAATTGTTTCAAAACGAGTCAATTTGAAATTTCTCATACAGAATTGCTTCATCTAAATTTTGTGCAGCCAAACCAATCAATTTGATCACATTTTCTATAAAAAAAAAAGTCACTATAATAGTCTGTATAGATCATAAGTTTATGTTACTAATTACTATACTCATTTATCATTCCCTGTTATATTCTATTGTTAACTCGAGACTTGATTGTCTTTTATGTTATAGATTAATGGATATCGTATTTACTGAATCATTTCCTCTTCCAATCTTCTATCTATCTATACTATATATTATGGCAATTCAAAAAACAAATTCTTGCCACATAAGCACTTGGAGGATGCACAATTTGCCAAGTTGGACAACTTTTTTACAAACAAAAAATTAGTTATTAATGTATTTATGGAGCTACCTCTCTCTTCTTTAATATTTCCATTTCTTTTATCCAATTATTCTTTTTCTTTTATCCATTTATTCTTTTTTGTCTTTAATAATAAGTTACATGTTGATAAACTTAACCAAACACACATAAATAATAAAAAATTTTAAATAAACAAAATATAAATAAGAAAAAATAGAGTGACATATATCATATTTATTTAAATAAAAAATATCTGATTAAACCTTATGAAATAAATTTTCTACTCATTTTTACTAAAATTCAATGATCAGTTACATTTTGATGAAAAAATAAGCAATCATACACATAAACAATTGTGTTTTAATCGATTAAACCAAAATATATATGAAAAGAGAGAAAATAAACATTTGACATTCAATTACCTTTGAAAAATAAACTATATTACTTTATATTTTGTTTCAATGAAACACTCTCTTATTCGTACAATATATATCTATAAAATAAAACAGTATTATTTAGCAAAATGTCAGAGTATAATCTTGATCGAGTAGTTACAGTTATTTATTTAAAAAAAATCTTATTCATTCAGATCATGTTCTACCTTAAATTCCTCAAATGAAGAGGAATCGCATGTGCAATAATTTGATAATGTGACCTAAGTTCACATTAATAATATTTGCTCTATATCATGTTGATTGAGAAAGCTCTATTGAGGTTCTAAGTCGTATGCTAAGAAATTTTCTTTCAGACTTGGAGTTATCTTCGACGATTATAAATCAAAATTTTCAAAATGACTTAAGTATGATTGTTGACGAACTTTGACTTCATACCCTAGGATGAGACACAAGATTCCTTGAAAAATAATAGATGTGAAGGTTAGAAAAATCTTTGTTCAGAATCTACGATAAACATCACGTTTCATCAACTACTAACATAGGCATTTACCAAATAAAGGTTGGCAATTTTTAGTAAGATCGTCAATTGGGATAAACATGTGTGTATTGGAGACACTCTCAAAATTAATCTCAACTCTCAAAATTGGTTTTCAGTTCGTCTAGACTCGAGAAAAACGAATTAATATATGTTGTATAAGATAATAAGTTAATGCAAATAATCAAATGAAATACACTGATATTGTTCAAATGATAAGACATTTTAAATGCACTTAAAATATGTGTGTATTGGAGACACTCTTTATCAATTATTAATATATAAGCGATAGAATCTTTGAAAATTACACATTCAACGACCATGTTAAGACCAAAAATTCTCGATAGTGTGTGTGAGTGCCTTAGATTGAGATTCTAAGTCAACATATAAACAATGACCACCGGTTGAGGTTTAGTATAAACTTCAAAAATTAACAATTGATATATATTACATAATATACTAAATTTAAGTGTCTGGATAAAAAACAAACATCCAAAATGGAAATGAGCCGAGATTAGAGAATTTAGTCATCATGAGGGATACAGTGTGTGTCAAGTTTCAATATGGATGAATAAATCCAATTATGAAGTATCTTTACTAAGAATTTCTCACTAAAAAGTCGTAATTTTTACTACATTGGTCGAGAGTTCGTCCAAACTCGAGGATCATGAATGTGTATTGGATTTCCAAAGGACCTAAAATCCCAATCCCTTTCGAGGGCTAAGTACCTCTGATCACAACCATAGGTGCTAAAGTAGAATGAAAAAGAAGCCAAAAAAGCAAAAAAGAACATAACCACCGATAAGATGAACATAATAAAACCATATCGAGCTATGATCCTGTCATCCCTACCTTTTTATTCTCCATAAAGGGGTCGGCGGGAGAGGATAAGAAATAAGTAGTAGGATCTTAGTATTTGCCTCTTTATATATTATATATCGAACAATAGACAACCCCAATGGTTCTCTGACGTTATTAGGGACTAGAGTTTACCTATTAGAGGTTAGGATATAGTATAATGCCCCAAAAAAATCCGGTTAATTCGGGTCTAAATAGTAAAACTCAATGGTCGTATGGTAGTATGAACGCAAGAGTATAACGTACTCCTGGCGCACGCTAGCTGGAACTATATATATGTGTGTGTGGTTTAGGTTGGCGTACGCTAAATATTAGTGTTTTGGTTGACAAATTTTGACATAAGTTCTAAATGGGACGTGACAGCGACATAATTTATGATTCGAAAACCGAAGCATCACAAGTGAGTGTGCTAAATATTGGAAATTTCAATATAGATATACTACAAACTCTGTTACAAAATATTTAGAAGATCCAAAATTATTTAAACATATAAATTATAAAATAAATCTCTCCGGCCAACGTGCCGGGTAAAAAGCTAGTGTGAATTATGATAGGTTCAAAATCAACGATGTTATATTTGGCTAGATTCCATAAGTTGAGGTTGTTTTACAAGATAAATTTCAAATCCATTCATTATTGAACATAAGAAGTCATGTATTGAAGATTAAGATACTTGATTATACGTAGGATAGCTCCACCAGTGAATTACAAAAGCTTAAAATAATGATCACCCTCGCTACTATTATATTCTGGCCGGAAAGTGGAAACTTTGACTAGCTACCACTGGTCACCTATATTTCTTTCCATCCTCCGCGTCTCACTAGACTTATTTAGGACACCGGGCAGTTCCTTTGTCTCGCCAGACTCCTGATCCTCGCCTTCGTGTCTTGATCCAAGTCCCCGTACACCCTGAACTCGTTCTTAACTCCTGGGTACATCCTCCTAAGTTCCACCATTGCATCCACGTCCTTCTCATTCACTAGGACGATGGTCTGATTCTACAGGCATTTTTCGGCGGCAAACTTGACTCTTCGCTCGGCGTCGCTGCGGTCCCTGCCCGTCGGGGTCCAGATTGTATAACAACACTCTTTTTGTTGTTATAATAACAATATGATTCGTTAAGGGTAAAAGGGTAAATTAACAATAAAAATAATAAATAAAAATTAACCCTAAGTATTTTCTTCGCACTAAAATCAAAATCTCCGCCGCCGCCGGCGCACGATGGCCTCTCGCTCCGTCCTCCTCCGACTGAGATCGCAGCTCCTCCGCTCCACGAAAATTACGTCCGCTGCCGGTTCCTCTTCCTCCTGCACAAGCATCTTCTTCTCCTCCACTCGCCAGATCGCCTCCGCCGCCAGATCGGAACGGTTGATTCTCTCATCGATTTCAGATCTCCGCGCAGTTTACAACGATTCCGCCTCGATCTCAGCTCCCCGGCTCTTATCGACGACGCAGCGCCACCCGGCGCGGCCGAAGACCGTGGACATCGGAGCCCGAGCTCGCCAGATGCAGACCAGGCGGCTGTGGGCCTACGCGCTCGCGTTCAGCTGCTTGGCCGGGTTCATCGTCATCGTCCTGAACAATTTCCAGGACCAGATGGTGTTCTACGTGACTCCGACCGACGCGATGGAGCAGAACAAGGCGAATCCGAGGAAGACGAAGTTCATATTGGGTGGATTGGTCCTTGAAGGGAGCGTGGTCCAGCCGGCGTCGTCGCCGGAGATGGAGTTCGTGGTCACGGATTTGATTACGGATATTCTGGTGAGGTATAAAGGGGGTTTGCCGGATTTGTTCAGGGAAGGTCATTCGGTGGTGGTGGAAGGATTCGTGAGGCCGATTACGGAGGAGTTGAGGAAGGAATCGGGAAGCAAGAGTGTTTCTGAGAAGGCCAGGGGTATAGATGTTTACTTCTCGGCGACGGAGGTTTTGGCCAAGCACGACGAGAAGTATATGCCTGGGGAAGTTGCTGCTGCGATTGAGAAGAACAAGAAGAAGCTGGAAGAAGATAAAGAAGAAGGATCAGCAGCATTGGCAGTAGCAGATGAGAAGAAGTGACGAATTGGGTTTGTCTTTCCAAATTCTGATTCATTGACTATAGATTATCATCAATGTTAGAGTTCCATTATTCAAGCCAGATGAGTTGAATTTTTGTTGGTGTAGCTTATATACTTGAACTAGGGAATACTTATTGATTCTTATGGAGCAGCTCCATAGCCATAGTTTACTTCAATTGTTGTGTTGTTACTGCAAGTTGATTTGAGCATTGATACTTCAATTTTGTGAGTTGAAATTGAATAATTATTTTTCATTAGAAAACTGTTGTGATTGAATTTAGATAAATAGAAGGAAACACAATGAATGGGTCACTTTGATGTCAATAAAAGCGTACCAGAAACCTCTCAATCCATACCACAAATCCCCTAAAACAAACCAAAAACCCCACAAAACATACCATAAATATTCCGAAAGCACACCACAAACCTCATAATACAAACTACAAACACGATAAAGCAAACCACAAAACTCCTAATGCAGACCACAAATATATTAAAACAAACCAGAAACCCTACAAATCAAACCATAAAATTTTCGAAAGCACACCATAAACTTCTTAATGCAAACCAGAAACACAATAAAGCAAACCAGAAACCTCTGAATGCATACTACAAATCTCCTAAAACAAACCACAAATCTCACAAAGCAAACCACAACATTTGCGAAGCACACCAGAAACCTCCTAATGCAAACCACAAACACAGTAAATCAAACCACAAAAAAGCAAACCATAAACGTCCTAATGCAGACCACAAAGATATTAAAACAAACCAGAAACCCCTCAATGCAAACCACAAAATATTTGAAAGCAAACCAGAAACTTCTCAATGCAAACCACAAACTCGATAAAGCAGACCAGAAACTTCTCAATGCAAACCACAAACACGATAAAGCAAACCACAAAAGGCATACGAAAATATGAGAAACCAAACCATAAATCTCACAATGCAGACCATACATCCGGTGGTCGTTGGCCGTTGACCGGTCAACGAAGACCGTCGACCGGTCAATGAAGTTCGTTGACCGAACTCCGGTGACCGTCAGTCAGCAGATTCCGATGCCGATAGGCATATTCCGGCCCCGATGACTAGATTCCAACGCCGGTAAGCATATTCCGACCGCGGTGAGCATATTCCGGCGACGGTGGCATATTCAGATGACAAAATAGCATATTCCGGCGACAAAAAGAATATTCCGGTGACCGGCGACCATTTTCCGGCGACCGGTGACAGAATTCCGGCGTCCAAAATTATGGGCCACAAATAAAAAAATATTTTTTATTTTTTTTATTTTTTTATTTATTATTATTTAAATATATTTTCATAATGACAATTATACCCCTGCTTTGAGTTTACACTAGGTCAACTCATCTAATAAAAAGTTATCACAATCCTACCTTCCTATTGGTTGGAGACTAATGTTGTTATAGTATCTAGTCCCGCCCGCCGGAGTCTCAAGAAGAGCAGCCCAAGCATCAGCAAAACTTTTGAGGGAGCCATTTGAGTTTTTACCACGACACATCTTGACGCAACCTGCAGGAAAAACACAATTATATTGATTGGAGAAGTGGGGGTGAGATAGCACTGTTGCAGTGCATGGCATTTTTAAGGTTACAAGCATGCCATTTGCGTTTCCTTGCTTGACCATATCAATCATGCCGTGAACAGTCATGATAATAGATTAGCATGTTGGAATTCGATTGATTAGTTGAAGCATGCATTTAGGGCTGATATCATATGCAATGTTTAAGAAATATCGGTTGGTCGGACCGTAAATATTGGATACTAGATCCAAAACGGTAAGCATTTTTAGCGGTAGGAAATACGATTAAACCACAATTTTAGTACAATCACTGAATTTTACGGTATAACTTTCGGTACGACTTCACAATCATTGATCATATGACGTACCGCCATGGTGGCTACATATTTCACCCTAAGTCAAAATCCGTGAAGGTCGAAATCCAAAGCGGACAATATCTTGTTCGGGAAAAGGTTCGGGATATTACATATTTAATTTGTTGCATCGAATAAAATATAGTTTTCTACGAAATAAATAAAAAGGGTAAATTCCACGTTTAGTGATTGAGTTTACAAAAGAGTGCCATTTTTAGTCACTAAAAATATTAAGTCCAATGTTGGCAACTCGAATTAGTAAAACAGCCCATATTTGGTCACTCTCCGTTAGTCTCCGTCCAACTCTGTTAATGGAATCCGTTATGTGCTGACGTGGCAAATGGAATCGCCTAGTCAACATAATTTAAGCCGAAAATGATGAAACCTGACCCGGCACGTCACTCAACCCGCCACATCACTCGACCCCAACCCTTAAGTCCAGCCCAACCTTTGAACCCAACCCCCTCTTCCATTCTGCAATCTCTAACCCTCTTCTTCCCTGACTTTTCCCCTTTCTTGATTCTAACCCTTCTTCCCCAATCTTTCCCATCGCTTTCTCTCCCTCACTCCCTCCGCCGAAACACAGCCCCTTAGAGAAACATATAGCTTCCGCTTCCCCACTCCTTCTGGACTCAAATCCCTGTCGGGCAGCTCCTCTACTAGCTTTTCAAGCGCATTATCCAGCCCTGAAATGGGTCAAAATTAGCTACCCGAGTAACTAACTTGGACGGGAAGTGGGAAATATGTATACACGAAGAGAGAATGTTGAGGCAAATTATTCCTAATGAGCGGAACGTCTTCTGAGATAGTTGCGTTAAGAAACTTGGTTGCCCCTGGATCATCTGCTCAAGGAAACAACAAGTGGAGAAAAACCAACAAGAAAATCAACCAAAGCTGGCAAGGCTGCGATTGTCGGAGACATGGCGCTGCTCGACAATCAGATCCCCTTCTTTTTCCTTGAATGGCTTTTCAATTACTCATTCTTCCGAAGCTCCAAGGACTTGCTCTCTGTTTCATGCCTCGATATCGCTATGCGATACTTCAAATCGACGATCAGTGGGTCGCTGCTAATGACCCCGGCGCTGTCCACGACAGTGGGGGCAAATTTCCCTGGGTGGGAAACTATTAGAATGGTGAGCAGGTAGAGCACTAAATACTTGCTCCACCTGATCCCACCAGCTACTTGCCTTCTTCGTCTTCTTCCCCACCGAAAGCAGAGGTGAGATTCCATATTGGGGCGGTGGCAACATTGGCACTTTCGGTGTTCGTCCCGTCATGGAGGAGCTATCCCGATGGGGATTTGAGTCTAGAGTTAGGAGTGGGGGAGAGGAAGCTATGTGTTGTTGGGGCTTTGTTTCGCCGGACGAAGGAGTGGGGAGAAGAAGTGGTGAGGAGGATCAGGGTAGAAGGGTTTGAAGCAAGAAAGGGAAAAGTCAGTGAAGAAGAGGGTTAGAGATTGGAGAAGGGAAGAGGGGGTTGGGTTCAAAGTTTAGATTGGGTTTAAGGGTTGGGTTGGGCTGAGCTCAAGTGACGTGGAGGGTTGGATTTCATCATTTCCGGGTTAAATTACGCTGATTTGGCAATTTTGTTTGCCACGTCAGCACATAACGGACTCCATTAACGGAGTTGGACGGAGACTAATGAATAGTGAGCAAACGTGGACCGTTACAAATTTGAGTGACTATAATTAGAATTAAATATTTTTAGTGACTAAAAATGACATTTTTTAATAAATCTAGAAACGAAGCGTGGGATTTACCCTAAATAAAAACATCGAAAGTAGAATACTAGAATTTCAATAAAATGTATATAGCATTTTCTTTCTTCGTCAAGGTAAAAGTAAATATGCAACGAGGATTTGGTGGTCCATAAGGAAAAGGGAAAGTATATTGGCACGCTAGGGTTATATATATGGACGTTTTCTTTCTGTCCTCAATAGAACACAAGATAGGGTGTAAAATTCGATGATTGCGGAATAGAAAATAACACAAGACGAGATTTTACGTGGTTTCCCTACTCGGTGTGAGTAGGACTAGTCCACGGAGAGCTTGAAGCTCTCAGAGCAGTTTTTATTATTCTTGTTATTCGGCTAGGGTTCTGCCGCTACACATGAGCCAAATATATATCACTTCTACTTCTAACCTAGCTCTCTACGTATCAACATGAGCCAAGGCAAATTACATAATGACCCCATATAAATGACAAGTGCTAATATGGAGTCACAACACTCCCCCTCAAGCGAAGGAGTGAATATCGAGAAGTCCAAGCTTGACGAAGAGATGATGAAACTGATCAACACTCAATCCCTTAGTAAATAAGTCCGCCGGCAGATCTGAAGTAGCGATCTTGGCAGGAGCAATATCACCGTATTGAACACGTTCACGAACGAAGTAGCAATCCATCTCAACGTGTTTAGTTCGCTCATGGAAAACAGGATTAGCTGCAATGTGAAGAGCAGCCTGATTATCACAGAACAGGGTCGTGGGACCTGAAGGAGAAACTCCTAAATCCCAAAGAAGCCAACGTAGCCAGAGAATCTCACTAACAGTGCTTGCCATGGCTCGATACTCAGCCTCAGCAGAAGACCGGGCAACAACGGTCTGTTTCTTCGTACGCCAAGAGATGGGAGAAGAACCAAGAGTAATGAAGTAACCACTTGTAGAACGACGAGTGAGCGGACAACCACCCCAGCCAGCATCACAGAAAGCAGTCAGGACAAAGGAATTTTCGGCCGCGAAGAAGAGACCACGACCAGGAGATGACTTAAGGTACGAAAGAACACGGACTGCAGCATCCTCATGAGCCTTAGTCGGCGCCTGTATAGCCTGACTAAGAAGATTAACAGCATACACGATGTCAGGACGAGTGACCGTGAGGTAAAGGAGACGACCCACCAGGCGACGATAAGCTCCAGGATTGGCGGCAGGTGGAGAAGGAATATGACTAAGATGATGTTGCTGCTCAATAGGAGTGGAACATGGCTTGGCAGCCTCAAGACTAGTGGAGGCAAGAATGTCCAAAACATATTTCCGCTGATTAAGCACAATGCCACGAGGAGAACGGGCCACCTCGATACCCAATAAATATTTAAGTGAACCAAGATCTTTTATAGTGAACCGATCATGAAGAAATGCATTGACACAATCAATGAAGACCAGATCGGTACCTGCTAGAATGACATCGTCAACATATATAAGTGCAGTGACGAACGTAGAATCCCTGCGATAGGTGAACAATGCATGATCTGCATGACTAGGAGCGAATCCCAATTCAACCAAGGAATGTGTGAATTTTTTATACCAGTTCCGGGAAGCTTGTCGGAGACCATAAATCGACTTATGCAAACGGCAAACGCGACGATCGCCAAGGCCGGCAAAGCCTTGCGGAATCGCCATATAGACCTCCTCATGAAGATCACCATGCAAAAAGGCGTTGTTAACGTCCAACTGGTGAATATACCAACCACGGGTAACTGCAACAGCAAGGATACAGCGAATAGTAACCAATTTTGCAACGGGTGCAAAAGTATCATGAAAATCGATACCCTCAATTTGCGTATACCCCTTAGCCACCAGACGTGCCTTGTACCGATCAACGGACCCATCTGGTTTGAACTTAACCTTATAAACCCATTTGCTAGCAATTTTCTTCTTACCGGGAGGAAGATGAGTGAGAGAACAAGTGCCATTCTCAATGAGTGCATAGATCTCGCGCACCATAGCTTCACGCCAATGAGGAAAACAGACGGCATCAGCAAAAGAAGTAGGCTCGTACGTTGCATTCACGGCAGCAACAAAGGCATAGTTAGCTGTAGATAAACGGTGATAAGTAAGATAATCCTCAACTGGGTAGGTGACAGTGGCCGAGTGGGCTGCTCCAGGCAATTGTACGTCATAGCCAGCCAATCGGGTGGAAGGAACCCGAACTAGATCACTACGCCGCACGGGAGGTACTGGAGGTGACGTGGGAGGAGTAGGAGCGGAAGGGCTGGTGATGCTGATGTCGACCGATGGGAGAATGATCCCGCGCCTGGGTGTAAGGATGGAGATTCACTAGGCAAATTCGTCGGGGACGTAGGAGGACTAGTGTCATGCATGGCCACCGACTCCTCAACGTCATTATTGCATGATGGCCGAGAGGAAGCAGGTGGGGAGGAGCTAATGTCCTCATCATGAGCAGGAGCTGGCGGAACGCCAAAAGAAGGCTTCGAAACAGCACTTGGAGTAAGGGAATTCAGGTCAGCCAAATCACGGTAAGGAAAAATGTGCTCAAGAAACCGTACATCTCGAGAGGTATAGATATGCCGGGTCTCGAGATCATAGACTCGATATCCATGTTGCGATGAAGGATAACCAAGAAATATGCCTGCACGACCACGCTCGCCAAATTTGTGTAAGGCATGATGATTATCCCGGGCATAGACCAAACAACCAAAACTACGGAGATGATCATAAGTTGGGTCTTTGTCGAACAGAAGCTGAAAAGGGGACCGATGGCCAATAGAAACCAAGGACATACGATTAATAAGATACGCAGCTGTTAGAACGCACTCACCCCAGAATCGCAGCGGCAAATGAGCATGAAACCGCAATGCCCGTGCAGTGTCCAACAAGTGCCGATGCTTCCGTTCAACTACCCCATTCTGTTGTGGAGTATCTGTGCACGAGGTCTACAGAATAATTCCCTCACTCTCATAATATGTGGTCAAAACTCTACTCGAGAACTCAGGGACATTGTCCGCCTGAATCTTCCGTACCTGCTTACCAAATTGTGTTTTGGCCAAGTTACAGAAATAAATCAAGTGACGCGCTCCGTCAGATTTAAACAGAAGGAGAAAAAACCAAACAACCCGGCTAAAATCATCCACGACTGTCAAAAAATAATGAGCACCAGATGTTGAAGCAGTCTTATAACTCCCCCAAATGTCAACATGGATAAGCTCAAAACAAGTTGTGGACTTAATAGTGCTGGAATCAAAAGAATTTCTCGTCTGTTTAGCCCTCAACCAAGATCGACAAGGGTCTTTATTCTGAACAAAAGAACAATGCAAAAGTTTCTCCAGAGTATGCATCTTCGCTGTAGAAGGGTGCCCAAGACATGTGTGCCATAACTCTGATTTATCCAAGGAACGACGAACTGAATGTGCCAATGGGTACGTGGGTGCGAAGAGTCTCAGATAATATAAGCCATCCACATGCTTACCCATTCCAATCAGCCTCTTGGAAGGTAAGTCCTGAAGCATACAGAAGTCACCCAAGAAAATGAACGTAACCGGTAGATCAGTGGTAAGTTAACTAACAGACAGTAAGTTGCACTGGAAATCAGGTACATAGAGCACCTGATTCAAAACCAAATCATCCGACAAAGTCGTTGTGCCAATACTATGCACACGAACACCTGTGCCATTTGGAATTTTAACTTGTAGAGACGGACTCGGGTCCAACTCGGAGCCCAACAGTGAAGCAGAGTTAACGATGTGCTCGTTACAGCCATAATCAATAACCCATAACGAAGAATCAGTCGAAAAATTACCTGCCATGTTGGAAGTTGGATCAACAGAGCCTCGCAATGATTGCGCCAAATCACCATTGAGCAAAGCCTTAAGTTGCTCGAATTGATGGTGTGACAAGGCTGGGAATGGGCTGTCCGCTGTGTCCACTTGCGTGGCCTGAGGTGAAGCCCGCTGCTGCTGATCAGAACGCTTCTTCGGAAGCTCCCCATTACCACTATTTCGGCTAGGAAAGCCAATTAACCTGTAACAAGTCTCCTTAAGATGGCCAACCGATTATAGTGTGTACAGCGAACCTTCCCATCTTCATCCCTGTCCTTATCTCGATCACGAACAGCCAAAGATAGTGCGATATCAGCTCTCTTCTCCCCTTGCGTTTGAAATGCAGCAGCTTCGGAACACGATCGTCTATTATTGGTGATTTGCCGCTGTTGTTCATCATTGGTCACCAACTAATACGCCTCCGCCAGAGTCGGGATCGGTTTCATTGCCAAAATCTGCGATTTGACGGTAGTGAAAGCATCGTCTAATCCCATTAAAACATCGAACAACCGTTCCCCTTTGCGAACCTCTCTTTGACGTCGCAAGTGCAACCTGAACAAGTGCACTCCAACGATGGAGTGAGAGACTGGATTTCGTCCCAATAGCCTCTAAGCTTTGTATAGAAGGCAGACACGGACGATTTTTCTTGCTGCGAGCAGCTGATATGGCTCTTCAGCTCGTATAAACGAGCAACACTCCCTTGACCGAACCTGGACTGCAAGTCAACCCAGATTTCCTGAGCTGTCGACTCAAAACGGACGCTGCTACGAACTTCCTTGGTCATCGACGTCTTCAACCACCATTTTACCATCGCGTTGCATCGACGTAGGGCTTCCTTCTCGGCTGGGTTTCTCGCAATGGGCAAGCTCCCATCAACAAAACAAAGCTTGTTCTTCGCAATAAGCGAATCAGTAATATCCACTCCCCATAATTCACATCCGTTAATAAATCCCCAACGAACAGATTTGATGGGCTATCGGATTGATGAAGCTGAAGGTGTGAAGGTAAGGCTACCTGAGTGTCGACATTGACATCCATCATCGATTTTCCCGACCTTTGTGTCTTGCTCGACTCCTCGTCGGAACTCATAACGATTGCCGTGGATCAAAATCACAGCTCTGATACCATGTAAAATTCGAAGATTGCGGAATAGAAAATAACACGAGACGAGACTTTACGTGGTTTCCCTACTAGTTGTGAGTAGGACTAGTCCACGGAGAGCTTGAAGCTCTCAGAGCAGTTTTTATTATTCTTGTTATTCGGCTAGGGTTCTGCCGCTACACATGAGCCAAATATACATCACTTCTACTTCTAACCTAGCTCTCTACGTATCAACATGAGCCAAGGCAAATTACATAATGACCCCATATAAATGACAAGTGCTAATATGGAGTCACAACATAGGGAAAGAAAGATCCGCCCTCGGCCAACGAGAAAGAATGGCGCCCGAGGACTCTGAATTGAGCCGTAGTAGTAGTAGTATCGATGTCGACCGGATTAGCGAATTGCCGGATGAGATCCTCTGCAAAGTCGTGTCCATGTTGACCCTCAAAGAAGCAGCCGCCACTTCGGTCTTGTCGACCAGGTGGACAAAGTTGTGGAAATCGTCCGTCACGGTGCTCAACTTGGACGCCGAAGAAGTGTTTCGTGGGATCGCATCAGGCCCGGCCCTGGGCCTGTGCTGGTAGGCCCTCAGCACAGGGCCTCAGGAAAATAAGGACCTCAACCTATTGTTACTTGTTGTGACGTTGGACTTTGGCCTGGGCCTCTCCGAAAAAAGTAATTACTTACTTAAATATGGGCCTCAAGGCTCAAGCTCGTGTTATGAGTTGTTGGTATGTTGCCCAGCGGAAGAAAAAAAATTAAAAGGTAATTACTTAATTAATAATTAATGTACTGAATGAATTCCTCCACTCCTGTCTCCACCAAGAGGAGCAGACGCAATAGGGCAAAAAGTGTGTATCTATCAAAGGTTAATAATTTCTAGAAATGGCTTGGTTTGAAGTAACTACTTATCAATTGAGTTATTGTTTTGTTTCTTTTCTTTTAGTTTTGTTTGATTCATTCTATTAATTAGTCAATTTTCTATTGTAATTTGCTGTCCATCCATCATCTGTTCATCAGATATTATTATTTTGTACTTTGGTTTATATTTAACTAAATTTATAAAATAAATTTACGAAAGTATTCTTCCTCATGTTGTTGAAAGTATATTTCAAATGTAAGTATTTTTTAACTAACGAATGTATTCTTCCTTTTAAAATTTTTAACATTTTGAAACATGTCGATTGTTTTTCTTATGCAAGCATATATAGAATCTTATTAACTATTCATGTGACTATTTATAGAAAGAAGCTTTTCGATGTTAAGTTGTTGAAGTCTTATCTGTGTTTTAAAATGACATTGGAGGCGATTGAGAATAAATTTTTGGATGATGCAAAGATGGAAGAGCTAATAAATTATTTTATTTCAAATAATACTAGATAGTTGTTACTTTTTAAACAATGATAGATGATATTATTACTTTGTAATAATTTTTTGAACTTATCTATTTTTATTATTATTATCTAATAATTTTTATTTTTAATCAATTTGAAAAAAAATATTTTAGAGCCACATTCTAAATTTTTGAACAGGGCCTCCGAACATCATGGGCCGGCCCTGGATCGCATGCCTCAACCCGCCTTACGAGGTGAGGGACACGTGGTGCAGGAGAAAAGGCGTTGGTACATCAACTGGGTGAACAGAGTCTTGAGGCAGCTCCAGGATGACGATGGCTCAAGTCCGGTCATCAGCGAGTTCCGAGTTCAGTTCTTCTTGGAGAAAGAGTGCAACTCGGGTGGGGATATGGATCGATGGCTCGAGTTCGCGTTGGCATCAAAGACAGTCGAGTTACTAGACCTCTTCTACTTCACCGACAATCGTAGTCACCGTTATGTTTTCCCCGAGGCTTGTTTCGATCCCATCAAAACTCGGGCATCCGACATCAAGCTCCTGAGTAGGGATGGCAAATTACCCACCCATGGGTAATTATACCCAAACCCAACTAGACCCATTGATAATGGGTTGGGTATGGGTGAAGTGCATATGGATTTGGGGGTTTATAGATGGGTTTGGGTTTGGGGCTTCCATAATCTAAATGGGTATGGGTTGGATATGGATATCCATTTACTTGAGGGTGTTTTAACTACACATGCAAAAATTGGACCTATTTGCAAAACTTGAAAAGTTTAGGTACCAAAATGTAAGACCAAAAAAATTTAGGTGCCAAAACGTAATTTTCCATCAATATTTTGAGGACTTATATGCAAAAAAAAAATTAAATTTAGGTACTAAATATGCATGCCTATTAAGTTTGGGTACCAAACTTTAATTTGTATTTGGGCATGGGTACAAACCCAAATCCATTTGATATAAACCCAACTCAACCCAAAGTAAATGGGTATGGGTACAAATCCATCAAACTCTATCCATATCCATCTATTTGGATTTCATACCCAACCCAATTGGGTTGGATAGTAAGAAACCCATGGGTATGGGTAAAGTTGCCATCCCTACTCCTGAGGTCGCTCAGCTTGGGTTTCGTGGACGTACGAGGAGAGGTTGTCGAGCATTTTGTTGCCAACTGTCCTTTACTCGAACGGTTGGTTGTGTATCACTCACATTCGCTTGTGAATCTCAGGCTACGACGCATTCCGGCGCTTAAGTACTTGGAAGTGAACAGATGCGAGTCGCTGAGAGTGCTGGAGATCGGGGATGCTTCTAAGCTAACTCACTTGCACTACCACGGCGTCGATGATCGAACGGAGTAAATGATGCTGCACAACGACTGTCACCGTCTTGTGGAGTTGACTTTAGGGTTTGATTTTTGCAGCCCTGAAATGGCTTTCCGAGCCCTCTCTGCCTATGTTGGTCGGGTGCGGACGCTTACCCTGAAAATGGACACGGTGAGTGGATCGTGATCGAGTTCAAAATATGTTTTCATTTCGATAACTCGAATTATTAGGTACTTGTAGATTTCCTTTATGTTTCCTTACTAAAGTAACAACTACTGCGGGTCGGAAGTAGATACCCATCTCCCGCCCCACGCTACTGCGGGTCGGATAATACCCGCCCCATCGCGGGTCAGGTCAAGTAATACCCGCGGGACGGGTTGAAATTGCCATCACTACTACTAACCAAACGTCATTGTCATTTCCTAAAGATACCCAACGAGAATTTTCACTATCCGAAGCGTCAGGCGCTCAGCCTCCGACACCACCATCATTATGATATATCCGCCAGCCTTTCCAAATTCAATTAAATGAATTAATCCTAATCACCGGCCAGGATGGGTGATTAACTGTTAATCCAATCAGAGCTTCCGGAATCCCACCATAAATAACCACGCACGCTCCTCAACCAAGCCCAAGGGCCAAGTCTCATATCCTGAACACACAAACAGGGGAATAGGGGAACAGTACAGAGTGTTCTCTCTGTAGCCATGCAAGCAAATCTGAAGCTGAAGGCAACCTTGCCTCGATCCAAGGACAAGGACGCCGGCGGCAATACCAAGGACGAAGAGAAAGAAGTCGAACTGAACTTGGACCTTTCATGGCTAGCCAATCTCATCAACATCGGGCCAGTTGTCGTAGTACCTAAGAGGAAGCTTCTGGTGCTGGGGCTTGCCGGGTTGCTCTGCGAACCGGTCATGAAACGTGGAAACTCGTTTCGAACCTTCAAGGGTTGGATGCTGAAAGGACAGAATCCTGCCACAACTGTTTACGCCACTTGGCCTAACAACGCAGGCCACGAGAACTTTGTAGGTACGAACATTTTGGTTATTTCCGTTATAATTGGTAACCGATCGGCCGGTTATCGGTTAACCGAAATAACAATCCTTCCTATCAACACCAACCGAAATAGGTTTTGATTTCTCGATTATCTTGGTTATCGGTTAACTGAACCACTTTTAAGATAAAAAATCATTTCGTCGATAACCGACCGAAGTTAATCCGTAGTACGGTACAATGTTCGTAAGTTCATTTGTAGTCTGTAGGTACGCAGGGATTTTTTATTATTATTATTTTTTTGTCTTGTTTGCCTATTCATTTTTTAACGTCAACTGTTTCCTAATTCGTCAGTTTACAAAAGGCCTCACTGCCAGGAGTTCTTGAAGTTCTGCCTTGAAAGGTTCGACGTGGCAATCTGGTCAACTGCTGAGAAGTAAGTCGATGTCCTGATTCCAAGTTAGAAACGATTGAGCTAGCTAGCTAGCTAGCTAGGGTTTTGTTGGTGAACTGTCTAATGAAATTGATGATGGCTTAGATGGTACACAGACAATGCTCTGGACTGTGTGATGAGCGGTTTGAAGATGAGTGACTTCTTGTTCATTTGGGTGAGTACTTGATTAATTACCATGATATAATGTATTCTTGTTTGTTTAATATAACACACTACATGACATGATTATATTGTAACACGACTCTCAGAATAGAGAAGAGTGCAAGAACTCGGGAATCAAGATATTGAACAATAACAACGAATCCATATTCCTGAAAGAGTTTAACAAGGTTTTCCAGAAACGTTGGGGGCTTAGATAACGCTCAGTATTCCGCGTCGAATACCATTATGATCGAATCCGATCCATACACAGCGCTTCTGAATCCTGTAATTACAAATAACATTTTCCTCCATTTCAAACTCATAAATGTCATACCATCATCTTAGGATTTCAGAGCTCCTTATCATTTCCTCTTGCTGGTTCAATTTATCATTGATGTAGCCAAACACGGCAGTGTTTCCTCCGGTGTACAAGTTTGAGAACGTGAAAGACAACGTGCTAGGTAATTAAGAACATTATTATACTAAATTCAAGTCCCTTTCTCTTTGGTTGTCTCTTCTTCCTGTTGATTTTGAGTATATAACTCTTCCATTTTTTTTTTCCTTATTTGCAGCTGCAGGAGGCGAACTGTCTATGTTCCTGCACGGGCTGGCGAGAGCTGATGACGTTCCTTCGTACGTGAATGCCAATCGATTTGGGCAGCCAGCTATAACACATTCTCATCCTAACTGGGCTCACTACAGAAAGATCATCCTTGCTCACGGCAGCAAAAAGAACTAAATACTATCAGCATTATTAGCCTATAGGCTTTGGTCTTTTTAATTTCCATTTTCTTTCATGCATGTTTCCCTGTTTTTGCTGGACTACAAACCCACATGGTGGCTGCTTTCCATTTCTTTGTCCAATTTCCTGTTTTACCAGTGTGTGTTTCAGTTTAAAAATCGATCCTCTTTCATTTTCCGATCTGAATCATCCATTTTCTGTGATTTTTTGGGGATTGTAAAAATTCGATCTCTATGGGCACATGGTAAAGATTCATAATGTAATGTAGGTAAGAAAAGTGTAATGCGTCATCTGAGACACGAATCACACAGATGACAGATGCATTGCCTCCGTTCTAGTCTATGAAAAGATACGAACTATTAACAAACATGAAACCTCAGAAAGCCTAAAGAATTCATGCTAATCATGTCATGCAAGTTCTCTCCAAATCACAGGAAATAAAACCCCTGCACAGATCCCTTAACTCTGATGATCACTGATGGAAGTATTGGTTCCCTGTCAAGTGTCAAGAACAGAACAGAACATGTAAAGCAGCAAAGCAAAGCTACTACTCCACAACCACAACATTTGACTACAAGAGGAAATAACAAGTTGTGATGAGGTTAAAGGTTTCCTAATGAACTCTCGGTAAAAATAAGCATATTACTAATCCAAGACCAGAACAGAGTTAGCTAAACATTAATCAACCACAGTCTTCCCTCCTCCCAACTTTCCCAGTAGCGTTTTCCCCTCGGAATCTAACTTAATCAGAACACACCTGAAAACAACAGGAACTCGTTGCTTCAGATATTGCAAATCTTCACGTACCCTCCAAAAATTAGGAGATCACTACTAGACATCAGCCACGTGTGTGAGTTTTGATGTAAGGAAGAAATTTCAAGATAGGGAGTTCTCTAACTTGTTTCAGCTCATGTCTCGTGCCGTGAGGTATGAGTCTCTACTACAGGAGGAAAAGAACCAAAGGAGTGCCTCAAGGGGATCGTACTTCCCAAACTTAGACTATACTATCAATCATATTGGCCACGAGGCCAATGAGGTTGAGGTAGAGTTGGCTGAGATATCTCTCGGGAAGCCATACATGTGTGTTTCCTTGTCCGCCGGGGGGGGGGGGGGGGGGGGGGGGGGGACCCAATCATGCGCCCATTTTTAACCAACTCTATAAGAATGGTCAATTCAAGTTGACAGGTGCCATGTCGTTCCACCACCCAAGAAATTAAAAAGGAAAAAATATTGTAAGTGGCATAACAGCATATCGCATGCCACTAAAGCGTGTGTGAATTTTCATAACGTCTTACGGGACGCCATTGAAAATGGGCACATCAAGTTCCTTGAGGCTAAGAAGGATGACATGTTGGTGGACATTGATCCATTCCCCAATGTGCTCAGCGTCAACATGGTCAAGATAGACTTCGCCAAAATCGAGTTGCCATACTTCAAATTGGTGTTGGACACAACACCACCTCATAAGGTGCACATAAACTCCAAGCCACAATTGCTTGTGACGAGCATGAAAATTTGGCTTAAGTATGGATAGGGCGGCAAGTCCAGGTCCATGAGTAATAAATACTTGTCGCCAACCCCAAAGGGTGGACAAGAGGGCATGTATAAGAAGTCACAATACAAACAAATCAAACATGACCGCGCAAAGAACCTAGGGTGGTTGTCTGCTAATTGTAGAGGCCGACAAGGTTCAGATGTTGGGAGGCAAGTCAAATGGACCACATGAGTGGTAGCCGACTCGGTAAGCCTAGACATCGTCTCAAACAACATAAGGGGAGTAAGCATATCTCAACCATGAGGAAACCAAGGCAAAGGAAAACTCATGGTTGTCTTGACATGTCAAGTAATGTGGCCAAGGGCGAGGAGTATGGGATCCCATGTAAGGCCACCAAGGCTAGATATGCCGACCAAGTGCCACCCACTGGTAACCTAGAAAATTCAAAATTGATAAATGAAGAGCCATGTCCCGTGGAGTAAAAGAGGCATGAGGTCTATGGATGACTTGCTTTCTTCAATCCATGGACTTGGCAGTGGGTGTACACCTTTGAAAATATGTTTTGCTTTGAAAATATGTTATAGAGAGGCTCAATTGCACCAAACAGGAGAAGAAGAAAATAACCAATAAGAGAATCACCAGAGTGGCTTCTTCCCATATCGCATTTGCTCATTGATGGTACTACATGCTTTTGTTTGTTAATTATGTGTATACCTAAAAATTATCGTGTACCACATTGTTTAGCTACAATGCAATTAAGGGTTTTATAAGGCCACATTAATTAAATCAATTTATGTTGATTAAGTTGGGCCTTATTCATATTGATTTGAAGCCCAAGCCACCAAGTAATAGTGAACATGGATATGATTCAATGAGTGACATGGACCTCTCACAAGATACCATGCCCTGAGATTGTATAAAAATAAACAAAGTCTGGAGAGGGACGTGTCGCTTCAACGATAAGGTTCACGTGCCGCTTCATGAAGAGGGCCATGGTCGTCTAGTAATCTAGAACCACGCACCGCTTCACGGAGAGGGCCATGGACGTATAGAAATCTAGAAACACATGCCACTTCACGAGAGAGGTCATGTGCGTGACTTGGGGCTCTCTCGCCGCAAATCACACACTTCAAATAAAGAAAAAAAATATTCTAAGTTCGGGAAGGATATGCCACTTCAACGAGGAATGCCATGTCTGTCTAAAATCTAAAGGCACGTGTTGCTTCACGAAGAGGGCCATGCCCGTCTACAATCTAGAAGTACATACCATCTCAACAAGAGGGGCCATGGACGTGGGAAAAATTCTCAAGTCACGTAGTGTCACGAGAAGGGCTACGACCTGACCCGGAAGTCCATGACCGTGAATTAAGAGGCCATACCGCCTCAAGACCAAGTTCGAATGACCCAAAATATACTAAGTCTGGGAAGGACATGCCGCCTCACAAGAGGGGCCATGTCCATGATTGAGAAGTCCATGTCGCTTCACTAGAGGGGCCATGGAAACGAATGGGAAAGGCGTGATGGTGGAGCATTCTATCTAGTTTTGGTCCTCAAAGTAAGAAAAATGAACCTGAAGTTCATAAGATGAATTATTATTCCCAACTATCAAATGCCTTTACTGACCATACGAAGTGACCAAGTCACATATACTAGCTGTGAATGCTCCAACTAAATTTGATATCCTTGTTGGATACTCTAATATAAAAAAATGTGCTTGAAAGATCATATAAAGTGTGATAGACCAATCGGTTCCAATGATAAACATCATCAAAAAGAAAAGGAGGGATGAATTCCCAAAATACACATGTTTTTTTTAAAAATTCCCAAATACACAAGTTGTAAAAAAAATTCCCAAAATACACATGTTTGGACATCACTGCTATTGTCAACCGCAGTGAGTGCATTCACCGCGGCAGACCAAAGCAGTGAATGCTTCACCGCGGTTGACGGTCGTGGTGAATGTCTGACTTAACATTGAAACTTCAAACAAACGTAACTTTGCGCTCGGTTATCCGATTGTAGCAAAAAAAAATTATTCCATATAACTTTTCAAGATCTTTCAATCTGGAACAAGACTTCATCTCAAAAAAATGTCGTTTGTTACCTGGAACGAGCCATTTTTCGATTTTTCTAAACTTTGGATGGACATAACGTTTAGCTCATCAATCCGAACTTCGTAAAGTTTTTTTTGATTGCTCATAACTTTTTAAGAACTACAACTTTTACTAGGAAATAATTTTTAAAAAAATAAATATTTTTGGGTATATGGGATTTTGGGAATAACTTTGTCTTTACTTTTCACAAATCCACATACTTTCTAAAATTATGGTTATAATCAAAGTTGTATTAATTCTAAATTTATGCAAAATCAAAAAAAGTTACATGACATTCGGATTGTGGAGTACAAAGTTATGGTCTTCCAAAGTTTGTCAAAATTGAAAAATTGCTCGTTCAGGTTAGCAAATGAATTTTTTTTTTGGGATAAAGGCGTACTGCAGATTAAAAGATCTTGAAAAGTTATGTGGAATAAAAAAAAACTTCGCTACAATCGGATAATCAAGCGCAAAGTTACATTTGTTTGAAGTTTTAGTGTTACGTCAAGCATTTACCACGACCGTCAACCTCGGTGAATGCATTCACTGTGGTTGATAACAACGGTGATTCCCAAAAATGTGTATTTAGGAAAATTTTATATAGCGTGTGTATTTTGGAAATTTTTTTTAAAAACATGTGTATTTTTTGGGATTTTTTTCCTAAAAGTAGTTGTAATTAGAATGGTCAATTCGAGGACATGAAAACTCAAGGAGAGTAACTAAGAATAAAGTAAGATTTCAGTTCCAAATGAACAAATGTGTTTGAAAGTTGTGAAAGCGAAGAGATCTCAAAACATATTGGACTACAATAATGGAACCGTAATGAAGTCATTGTCGATGAAATTTTTTGTACTTATGTACTGAATATGATATATACGAGTGAGGATC